GGGCTGTGGCATCTGCGGCTACATTGGTGGCTGCTCAGTGTGTGGAGACTGCTGAGGCTATGGGCGCTGAGCGTGACCATCTTGCTTCAGTAGTGAGCTCTGCTGTGAATGTTCATTCACATGATGATATCACCACTCTTACAGCAGCTGCAGCTACTGGTAATGACGTTCGCTTTTATGTATACGATAAATTTTTGAAAATATGTCTGCGAACTGTCTATTTCTAGCGCACATTTTGTCAGTAAAAAATTTATGATGTATAGTTCAGCGAAGTTTTGCTTGACTGGTTTGGTCAGCTGGTTAAGTCTATTTTTAGATGTTTAGACTTGCTTGAGGATCATCCTTTAGAAGCTACTTTGGTATGGAAATGTGATAAAATTCGGGGAGTCTCGATGATTTTTATGACAGAAGTTTATGAACCTCATGGCCATGAAATACTGTTACAGCTTCTACAGTCCCTTAATCTTAAAGTACTTCTGGGTGAAAATTAATAGGCATTCAAGGATGGTTATTTTCCTTTATCGTGCAGCTCTACGTGGGGCAGCAACCTTGAAGGCAAGAGCATTAAAGGATGTTTTAAATGTTGCAGCGGCAATACCTATAGAGAGATGCACTGGAATCTGTGGTGCAGGAAATAATGGACATCATAACCGAAGCTACAGCGGTGAGCTTGTCAATGGAGATAATTTTTTGGGTGCTTGTAGCGTAGAATTTCTTGCCAGGGGCAGTGAGCTTCTCAAACGCACCCGCCAAGGTAAATTTACAATAATCAATATTTTTCTCTAATATGGCTACTTTTATCACCTCAAAACTGAATATTAAATCATCAACTGATCTGGTTGCAGTTCTATATTTTATATCCTTTCTTGAAGAAAGCAAAATAAAACAGTTAACATTACTGTCATTGCAGGTGATCTGCACTGGAAAATTGTCTCTGTATACTTACACAGGACAGGCCAGGTGAGGTTTCTCATTGAAGTGTTCTGTTTAAAAATCTTTATTAATTGCTTTCCGATTCCCACCTGTTTCACTTGAAATGATGTTGTCTCAATGTAGGTGATGCTAAAGATGAAGAGCAGACATGTTGCAGGGACTATCACCAAAAAGAAAAAAAGTAACCTGCTACCCTTTCTGCCAATTACATAGGACCACAAATTGTAATTCTAATTCTCATACTGATATGTCTTGTGAGATGCAGATGTTGTGTTGGAGGTTTGCAAGGATATGCCAGCATGGCCAGGGAGACACTTGTTAGAGGGTGGAGATCATCGTCGATACTTTGGACTGAAAACACTAGCTAGAGGCATCGTGGAGTTTGAGTGCAAGAACCAGAGGGAACACGATATCTGGACTCAAGGTGTTTCGAGGCTTCTCTCTACTGTATCCCAAAGAAAAAACAGAATTCTTCAATTTTAGAGTTCCACTATAACTAAAGGCAATAAGTTTGTTTTTTTGACTAATTTGCTAGGCTTCTGAACATAGTGGAACTGTTGTTGGTTTTATCCTTCTCGGAAATATAAATGGAGAGGTGTGAAATTTAGGAATTGAAGAGGTTTCCTCTGGGAATTAGAAATGAACGTAGGGAGAGAGAATGAAAAGGAACATGTGCATGCTTTCTGTCTTCAGTTCGACAGAAGCAGGGGAAGCAGAGGTATTGTAGTAAAAAGCATGTTGAAGGAGAATTTGACTTCAATTAGATGGTGTTATTTAAATGAAAATCGTGGTTTGCCTAATTTCTTTCGTTAGATTTTGCTAGGCAATTTTCTTTCCTTGTGGTCCATATCTTATTGGAATCGGTACTGGAAAGCTCTTCTGCAACATCATACATGAGTTCTGGAAAAATTGGATTGCCTCACGGTGTGAAAATTAATTGATGGATGCTAATGACTTTCCATGAGTTGGACTGCCTTTTCTGCATTGCAAAACCATTAAAAAAAAATGCCAAAAAGCAGTTGAACGAATGTCAATCTACTATAGAGATTACTGCGGTAGAGAATTAAAGTGTGCAGTTTCTAAGAAATTCACTTCAAGGCTTAGAATACATAAAGAAACAGAAACGGAGAAGTGATGGCCCTAGCAATCTTGGGCACTGCAGACAGTTAGAATACTAAGGAAAAGATTAATGATATCCAGGTACAAAGAGACTGCAGCCCAAATGTACTCATCATAAGCATAACGTTTGATCAGGCTGTCTGTATCGTATATTATGAACCCGCAAAATAAGATCGATGCCAAGCACCCAAAGATCATTACAGAAATCCTACCCAAGGGAAAGAAAATCTGCATTGTATGAACAGCATAAATATCAGTTGTGGAAAACAACCTCGTTGAGTTCAAGAAAGCAGTCAAAGATGAAAGTATATATACCTGAATCAGAGCAAACACCAGAAGAGCAATCAGGGAAGCAGACAAGAAAGGCCCGAGGAAGCTGAAATCATGACCTCTCCTAGCCGCCCAGAAGGTGTACAGAGTGAGAATAACCATGGCCGTGAAAGTTATGATGGCAGATTGCAAAATAACCTTCCCTGTTATCACATCATTTATTATATTATCAGTGATACAATTGTTGAATCAACCAGCACAGGAACCTATAGTAAATTAGCCTAATTGAATCAAAGAAGGCTTCTACGTGATTCGAACTGCTTCCAGCAATGTTTAAAAAGGAATACTTTAACCAAACATGCCCCACCACACGTGGAAGCAAAAGTTTGAATCATATAAACTACTTGGTAATGGTCCCATGATCAAACAACTGGAGATTTAATCATACAAAATTAACTCCCAACTCTATTCATAAGCAGAACACCAAAGACTAGAGAGAGACTTGTATCCCTTACCACTGGTAAACGCACATGTAAGTCCGACCAGAAATCCGAGAGCAGTGGTAAAAACTCCAAGGAGAAGATAATTCAGTGGGCGTAGCTGGTAAAAGTAATATAATGGACACAAGACTGCAGGGGTTTTTTGGGAGAGATTCAAACGAAACATTAGATCAACCCGTCAAGCAAAAAAGAGAACAAGATGAAGATGAAATTGATGGCTCTGAAAATGCGAACATACCAATAAAAGGGATAACAATGATAGCTATATAGACAGCCAATCCCACCTTAGTGTGCACGATGAAGTTTGAAATGGAATGAACTGAAACAACTGCGGTTGCCACCGCAACAGTGACTAGCAGTTGTATAGCAATGATTGTATAAACTTTACGAATGAAGACCCAGTGGTACCTTGGACCGTCCAGTTCGGCTGGATATTCTCCAACATCGAAATTTCTCCTCTGCCTGGGATTCATCCACATTGTCCGAATTGGTCAATTTTGTGCCTCCTGTTTTAGGTTAGAGGTTGTTTTTCCAGTGAGAAAATGAAAGCAAAAATGCGGCAGAACAACAAGCCAAAGAAGCAGAAATATCAAGGCAAGTTTTCTATGAATAAGAAAAATACAGCAAGGAATATACTTTGAGAAAGAGTTTTCCTTTCAAGCATAGCTTTATGCTTCATTCCGTCCTCTAGATGGTTTCCCTCGTGTGTACGTCTGCTATTCCTTCTCGAGCCTGTACTTTCCCAAACTTATATATTACAGCCAGCAGGTCATCAATCCGTATCAACATAGCACTCGGCAGCCATCGTAAGACGGGAAAGCACATTTATTGTCACAGTTCGTCGTCCTCTCAGACGTGGTTGCCAGTTGAAAAACCCAAGCCAGTTAAAACTAAAGGTAATTTAAGGAGTTTTTCTGTACTATAAACAAACTTATTTCCCACACCAGGAGATAGTAAAATACTAAAGTAATCGTGCATGTAGCATATACGTAACAAGTAGTTGCATACATGCATGTATTACATATAATAGCTGCCATAAGTTAGGTGTGCCTTTTCATATGCTAGTAGTGAGTTACATATGTTGTATGATAACACCGACATATTTATTTGCTGACATTTCATCATAAGATTTGAAGTTGATTTTCCATAATATGTTAATTCGTCTAGTTAATATCTTTCTTATGATATTAAAAGTGTTATTACCGGAATTCTAATGGGTCCCCAGCACCTTTTTTCCCTCCTTTCTTACCTTTTTATGCCATGTCATCTTTTTTATATCTTTATTTTTTTTTATTTCATTCCATTTAATTTTTTATAAAAAAAATATTAATGTTGACTTTTAAGAGAATAAACTAACTTAGACCTAGTTTGTTTGCATAATATAATTTTCTAAAAACTACTTTTAAAATTTTTTTATGTTTATTTATTATTAAAAACATTGATCAATAAAAATATTTTTTAGTCAAATAAAAATTTGATTTAATTTTTTAAAAAAATATTTTTCTTTTATTTTAAATGAATTTTTTTAAAAAAATTCATAAAAAATTTAAAAATATCATATTATTTACTAATAATATCAAATTTAATTTTCAAATATATATATTTCAATTTTATCCCCTAGAATTTAGTTTTTATATTAACTTTGATCTTTATTTTTTATAATTCTTATTTACTTTTTTCTTGTTATTTTTTAATTGAATTTTTTTATCTATCAAATTTGATCCTTATTTTTTAATTATTACTTATTTTATTTAAAATAATTTATAAAATGATAATTATTATTATTTTAATTTATTTATCTTTTAATTTTTTATTTGTTAAATTTAATCTTTATTATTTTAATTATTATTTATTTTATTTAAGATAATTTATATAATTATATTTTTTTTAATTTTATTCTCATTTATTTCTCAGTATTTTAATAAATTTTAAAAAATAAATCATTAATAAATTATTTCCTATCTTATTTTTCATAATATAATCAAATATTAAAAAATATTTTTTAATTTATTTTTTATTATATTATCAAATATCAAAAAAATAATTTATTTTTCTAAAATTTATTTAAAAAACAATTTTCAATAAACAAACAGAAATTTGAATTATGGTAAACAATGCACAACACACGCGTTGGAAAATACTTTATCTTATCGTGCTAGTCTAGAAAGAACCTTTACATTTTGATCCATTCATAATTTTAACGACAAGACGAGACCACGACTCGTAATTTAAGTCCTATACAGTTTACTTCACGACCTCTTCAAGGAAGTAAAGGAACATAAAATGGAAAACTTCCACAACAAGTAAACTAGTAAAAGGTAAACCACTGTGACGTAAAACCCTGCAAAAATCTACGATTAAAAGTCACTAATATATACGCATGTGATAAAGCCATTCACATCCGGCCTTGAAACGAAGGAGACTAGCGGCGGAAAAGAGAAAAGAGGGAAGAAAATAGTATAGTAGAGAGCTGCTTTTTACAAGGTTAACAATTTGATTTCAATGAATGCGCGTGAGAGACAAAGCTGAGAAATGATCTTAGGTTCAAAAACTGGACAGTGATCTTAGGTATCAGCGGCTCTGAAGATGGTTAGCAGTGAGAGGAAGAGATTAATGATGTCCAGATACAAACTCACTGCCGCCCAAATGTATTCATCATAAGCGTGCCGCTTGATCAGGTTGTCTGTATCATATATGATGTATCCGCAGAATATGATTGAAGCCAAGCACCCATAAATCATCAGAGAGATTCTACCCAGTGGAAATAAAATCTGCATCCAGAAAACAAAAATAAAGCCATGAAAATTCATGACAGAAAATTCAAAAAAAAAAAAGTTATCAAGATTCGAAAACAAAAATAAAGCCATGAAAATTCATAACAGAAAATTCAAAAAAAAAAAAAAAGTTATCAAGATTTGAATACTAAAACAGAAGAAGCTGAAGATTAAAATTACCTGGATCAAAGCAAATATCATAAGGATCATGATTGCTCCGAACAAGAAGGGGCCGAGGAAGTTGAAATCATGGCCTCTCCTAGCTGCCCAGAATGTGTACAGGGTGAGACTGACAACTACCACAGTTGTCAGAATCACAGACTCCAGAATAACCTTTCCTGTGTCGCCAAATATATTTCACTATTTTAGTCATGTATACACAAGCCCAGTAAGAAATTCATACGCAAAATGACACGGACTAACATGTCCGAGAAAAAGTCTAAATGCCTTTGACTTCTCTGATAGCAAAGGGCTGAAATTTAAACAGAGCATTCTACATGCCCTGTTCTCTATAGGGCCGGTTGTTCTGGATATATTTTTTTTCCTAGCTATTTTTTTAATTTTAAACAACGTTGTAACTTATTTTTTCAATAAATTGATTATTTGTTAATTTTATTAAAATCTTTTCAGTTCACTGTACAATTTAGGATTGTAACGTTAGAATCGTAATAAACTCTAATTTACAGGCTAAGACCATGACTCTTAGAACACATTGAAATTTTGCAGGCATAAAGTTGGTATGCTACCAGCTAATAATATCCTATTCCAAGACTTAATTAAACTTATAAAGACACAAAATCAAATTAAACTTAATTACCTTCAGTGTAGGCACAAGTTAAGCCAACAGCGAAGGCGAGACAAATGGTAAAAATCCCAAGCAGAATGTAATTCACTGGATGCTTCTGGTGATAGTAATACAAAGGCAACAAAGCTGCACAAAATCAACCATAATTAAAAACTAAATTCACCGCCTAACAGTAATAAACTTAAAATATGGTATTGGTTTCAAAAACTTACTAAAAAGAGGCATGAGAATAAGCAGTATATAAACTCCCAGCCCAGCCCCAGTGGTCGAAAAGAACACAGCAATCGGCCGGACAG